GCAGGCCGGCCGCCGAGATAACACCGGGAACACGTTTGTGAGTGGGTTTAGGTCTGATTACAGCCCGAGATTGATACGCCTCGCTCCGAATCTCTGGCCGAGATGGGGTCGGGGGAGAGGTGCCTTCTCAGCCAGGACGGGGACCGCCCGCCCTGGAGCCACAAATGCCCGACTGGGCGCCCGAGAGGGAACTAAATACGCGTCCCTCCTGGTTGTCCAGCAGACCCTGCCTCGTCGCGTGCCTGCCAGAGAGGGTAAGGGGACACCGTGGATCTGAAGCCACTCCCGACAGCGGCGTCTGGCTGTGGCATGGCAGCAGAGTCACAGCCCCCGGCGCGGCGCGGAGCGCTGAGCTGAGGGAGGGAGGGAGAGGGACGAGGGAACACACGTCACGCAGACGGCCTCTCTCCCCGCCACTCAGGACGGTGGGTGCACTCGGTGCGCCGGTCAGTCCAGGCAGGGCCGCCGGTGCGGCCGGGCAGGCTGTGCTCCGCCCAGGGGGCTGCGGGCTCACCGGGCGCACATGGGGGGAGGGGGGTCTTCACACGGGGAAGTCACCGAGGGGCATGGCTCTCAAGGGTGCGAGGAGACGACGCTCGGACAGGCGGTTCTCTGGGACCGGCCCTGGGGACACCAGGGTCACTCACTGGGGGGAGCCTGTCCCCGGAGGTTGCAGCCGGCAGGACCCGTCTGTCCCGGGAGCCAGCTCGGAGGTCGCCCCGCACCCGCGCTGCTTCCCGCTCAGCCCCGCCCGACGCCCGCCCTCAGCTCCGTGCTGAGGGCCTGGGGATGTGAACTGCGGACTGTGATTCGGGGGCGCGGGGGGGGGCGGTGGCAGGTCGTCCGAAGGAGAAAATAATCATTCCCCCCCAAAGAGAGGTAAAGAGAATCCTAGATGAAAAGGCCGATACATAAATAAAAGCCCGCACTCACGATGATCTCCCACATTTGTTTGGTCGGGGAAACTGGATTCCTGGGTGAGAATCTGGGGTTTGGTGTCCCACAAACATCTGTTTTTACAAAAACCCTCCCCCAGGGACACGTTTACTGATTTCAGAGAGAGAGAGAGAGGGAAGGGGGGAGAAACGTTGGTGTGAGAGAGAAACATCGGTGGCGGGCTGCCTCCCGCGTGCGCCCCGACCGAGGACGGGACCTGGAACCCTTGGGTGTTCGGGCCGCCGTCCCAACCAGCCGAGCCCCCCCCCCCCCGCCACCCCGGCCAGGGCGGGGCCACATCCTCTTTATCCAATCAGCGGATGACACATCCCATGGAGGTTAACGCCCACAACTTATAAAGATCTCATACAACCCCCCACACCAAAAACAAGAAGACAACCCAATTAACAAACAGGCAGAGGACCTGAGCAGAGACTTCCCCAGCGAGGACACACAGAGGGTGGCCCAGGGACACATGAAAAGATGCTCAATGTCACCAACCGTCAGAGAGAGACGCAAACGGAAGCCACAAGGAGACAGCACCTCCCCCCGTCAGAACGGCTGCCGTCAGCAAACCCACAGACAGCAAGTGCCGGCGAGGACGTGGGGAAAGGGGACCCCCGTGCACTGCTGGTGGGGACGCAGTGTGGACAGACCCCCCCAAAATTAAAGACGGAGCTTCCTTACAGCCGAGCAATTCCACTCTCCGAGTGTGTCAGAAAAACCCCAAACGCCCGTTCCAGAGAGCACCCCCCCGTGTTCACGGCCACGTTCCCACAGTCGCCGGGATTCGGAAGCAGCGCCCGCCCCCCCCGCCCCCGTCTAACGAGAGAGGGTTTTTCTTATCCACATGTCGTCCACCTCCGTCCGACCCCCCCAAAGTTACATAATATTTAAAACGAGGACACGGCTTTTATTTCCTAAGTAAGCAGCATAACGGAGAGGAGAACCTCGGGGCGCCCGGGGCCGTCCCAGAATCCACCCCTTCCTTTACGAACGGGAGACCCAAGTTCGGAGAATGTTGGTCGTGACACGAAGGACCCGATGACGCCCCCATTTTCCTGGCCCTTGACCCGGGGGCAGGCAGCGGCCGGGCATCGCTTGGAGGACACGGTCAGGGCCACTCTGAGAACCCGGCCTCGGAGTTGAATAGCCGCAGGCGAGCCACAGATTTGCTTCGGAGACAGGCCTCTGTGCCGGTTGGCAGGAGCAAGGGCCACTTGGAAGTTTAATGCCCAAGTTAATCTCCAGCTGCGACAAGGACACTCTTCCCGTGCTCGCGTGGTTATTTTCCAACCCAGCGAACAGTGTTCGATTGCTCCGGACCACCCGAGCCGGCCTCGACACGCTCCTCGAAAGTCACAAATGTAAAACGCTCTGTTTGGGGAAGGAGCCCGGGGGGACACAGGGGGGGCGTTGTTGGGGAAACCGTAACCCATGGTTTTTCCATGGCCTCCTTGGAAGCAACATTCTCCAGCCCCTGTCAGGGGAGAGGCCCCCCCCACGCCCCGCCTTTGGAAGCGCCCGCCTCGCCGTCCTGGAACCCAGGGGACACTGCCGGCTGGCTTCCCCGAGGGCCCCGAGGCCACAGCGAGTCATCCACCACTCACGGACAGGCAGGCCGGCCCGGCCTCTCGGGGTGCCGCGGGCTTGTTAGCGCCCCTCCTGCGGCTGCGCGGGCGTCAGCAGCAGCAAAGCAGGCGGAAGAGCAGCCACAGGGCGCCCACCATGGGCTCAGGCACCCACCCGGACGCCCTCCCCTCCCCCTTCAGCGGGAGTGTCCGCAAGGTACGAGGAGGAAAGGCGACTCCCGTGACTCTGTCCTTTACTGAGGACAACCGTGGGGGGGGGCGTGGCAGGAGAGACGAGAGGGGGCACGTGGCTTGTCCCTCAGTAGCGCTCAGGCCCGGGCTGAGCTGGAGGCCGCGTGAGAGAGGCCGTGGGTGGATGGAGGGGGAGGGCGGGACCCCGGGGAGCAGTGAGGAGGAGCAGCAGCCAGACACCCGTCCGGCCGGGAGCCCAGGGGCCGCGCAAGGCAGCCCCGTGGCTGGGAGGCTGGCAGGCAGGGAGGAGGACCCCGGGGAGCAGAGTCCCCGCCAGCTCAGGAGCCCCGGGCAGACGACGTGAAGCCAGGGGCGGGGAAGGCGTGTGCTGGTGTCCAGGGCGGCTGTGCCACCTGCCACTCGCTCGGTGACTCACAGCAGCCGGACGCAACCCTAGTGGTTCTGCCAGTTGGAAGTCCTGGATCAGGGCGTCAGCTGGGCTGTGTCCCCACGGAAGGCCTGGGGCTCCCTGTCCTGGCCTCGCCCCTGGATTCTGAGGGCGGCTGGCAGCCCTGTGCAGTCCTTGGCTTGTGGGCACATCCCTCCAGCCCCTGCCACCATCCCCCCGGCGTCTCCTCCCGCCGGTCCTGTCCCCAGTCTCGGGGGTTAGAGCCTCACCTGAACCACAGCCGCAAAGGCCAAATGTCCACACCAGGTCACACTCTTAGCCATGGGGGAGGGGGGGCGGGGGACAGGAGGGTGGGGTGGCGTAGGAGGGGGAGTTAGAGCATCCACATGCCTTCTTGGGGGGACACGATTCCAGCCACTGCAGACGACTCCGTCTCCCCCTGCTCTGTCCGACCCCTGCGCACACCTCCCTCGGCTAAACCACACCAGAGGCCAGAATCCCACAGCCCTCTCCTGCTGCATATTTGCACGGGGTGTGGGAGGCTCTGGCGACCTCCCAAACCTCAGTAATAAATCTTCCCGACACCCAGAGAGGTGAGGGTGAACGCCATCACTCTGCATGCTGCAGAGCATGCAGCAATCTCTCCTGCAAGCAGCCCAGTGTCGGCCACTGTATTTGAAGTTTGATCTTATACAGAGAGGTAGGGACGCCTTCTAGACATCTTCAAGCTTTATACAAGAATCCCCCCACCAAGTTCCCGTGGTGTCTCAGGGACCATGATGTCATCTTAAACGTGCAAAGGCAAAAAAGCCAAACTGTGGCAAAGCTTCAGAATTCCAGGTAAATCCCACCACATCTCCGGAAATTCCATCGGGGACAAAGTCGGTCAGCCCTGGGGCAAGGGGCCTCTGGCGCCCCCTGCCTTCCCCAGACGTGGCCCCATGGTTAGGTTTTTTATTTAAAGACAAACTCTCGCGAGGAACGCGGAGAGAGGCACAGAGAGACACGAGTGGCGTTCCTCCCCGGTCGCCCGTGTCACCGGCCTTCACGGCAGCGTCTCGCCATGACCTGGTCTTGGCTGAGGGAGTGGCTGCCTGTTGGCCGTCCCCAGAGTGGAGGCCCGCCCCCCTGAGGGTCAGACTTGGCTGTTTGTTGCCGATTTCCGAGGTCTGCCCGGGAGGAGGAATTCCCACCGTGTCCGGGCATCGTCAGGGTGTTCGCCCAGCGCTTCCCCTGCACCCACTGCCCAGCCCTCCCGAAACCCGACAGACGGGCTCTGGGAGTCCTTCGGACCGGCCAGGCGTGTGTGGGACAGTGTCCCACATCATCTCTAGGTCACCGTTTAGAAGACTTTGCTCGCACGGGACTCTGCAGCGGTTTATTTCCCTGCCACGGAGATGGAGCAGGTTCCCGAGGCTGGAGCCACAAGGGGGCGATGCATCCATGGGGCGGGGCTCCGAGCGGCCCCCACCATCTACGCCAGGCCACACAGGCAGGGATACTAGGTTGCGTTGGGCACCTGCGCTTCTGGGGTTGTTTGTTACAGCAGCACACGCATGCCTCTCCTGACTAACGTGCAGGGCAACCTAGTTTCCTTATAAAAAAGAGAACCAGAACAGACTTAGAGAAGAAAAAGTAAGACAACATTTATGGAACACAGCGAACGTCACGAAGCTGGTCTGAAATAACCGGAAGTTGAGAAAGGCTGGGCTAACGGAACACAGCACCTTCCCGGGCGGCGGGGTCGGGGCGGGGGGAGGTGGGAAAGTGTTCACGCCAGCACCCCGTAAGAAAACCACAGCGGACCTCCTGGGGGACGACAGGAAGGACAGGAGGACACCGTGAGCGGAGGCCAGGCGCGCCCGAGACCCCCCACCCCCAGGCTTGCTTACCATGGCCAAGGGCACGATGCCCACCAGGTCCCTCTGGCTGACGAAGATCTCGGACGCGGCGACGCCCGTGGCCCCCTGGTGCGGGTACTCCACCTGCCAGCTGATGGGCTGTGTCCCCGACAGGCTGCTGGCGCCGGCCATCTGGAAGTCCATCTGCGCGACCTCGCGGGACGAGGCGCTGCCACTGCAAGGGGGCGAGAGGGAGGAGCTGGGTGCTCACGCTGCTCGGGGGAGACCCTCCCCCGCCCCTGGCCCCGCCGGTCACTGCTGCGACTGGAGCGTGTGGGCAGGGAGCACCCCGCAGGGACGGCTCCTGCGGCCCGGCACCCACCATGCGCCGGCGCCCGGGCAGCGGGGTGCAGCGGCACCCACAGAGCAGGGCTCTGGGCACAGAGTCCTCCGCCCTGAGCCTCCTGTCTGTGCTGACGAGTCTCTCGGGCGGACGTGTGCCTGCCCTTCAGGCGGGGAGCGGGTTCGGCCGCCTCGCCCGTGACCTGCGAACTGGGCTGACCTCCGAACCAAGTGGATCTGGTTCCGATTCAGTTCTGTGCAGCGAGCGAGGTGGGGGCACAGGCGGCCCCTCCCCGGCTCACCCCGCAGGGGCTCAGAGCACCACACGCCATGTCCAGGCTGCCTTGTGGTCAGAGGCAGGCCCGGGGCAGGGCCCCGCCGGTCACAGCCACCCCGCGGGGCTCGGGTGTTCACGCGGGCGATGAGGCGGGAGCGGGGGAAGGAGTCAGCGTCCCCTGGTCCCTCCGGGGAGCCCTGGTGGCCCTTCCCACATCCCAGCCCCCTGATGCTCCCGCCCGCTCTGAGCGGCGGCCTGTCAGCGGCCGCAGCCCCCGGGGACTTGGCCGTGGCTCTGTCTGCGCGTCACCCCCGACGCCGGGCCCCTGGCTGGGCCGTGCGTGCCCTCGGTCCGCTGGCTCCGCCGCAGAACTGCCTCGTGGCTCCTGATGAAACCTCTTCTGTTTCAGGGGGCTCGTCCGCCAAGGGGGCTCTGTCGCCTGCCGTTGAGGACTCTGACCCGCACCCTCGGTTTAAGGTGGGCCAGACAGACGCGTTTCCAGCAAGCTCTCCCCAGCGACCCTGCGGCTTTGGGAGCTGCTCACGGTCCAAACCTCGCGTTTTTCTCAGACGGTGACATTCACGCCCAGACTCGGGGGCGGGGGGAATGGCTGCTCGGAGCCACAGAGACGGTGGGTGGTGGCGGCGAACTGAGGGCGGCACTTTCCGACGCCCGGTCCCACGCTCTCAGTGTCCTCCCCTGTGACAGCTGGCGGTCAGTCCTGAGACCCCCGAGACCCCCGGTGAGCTCCCTGGATGGGGCTCTGGGGGCTGCACCCAGCTAGCTGCCCGTGTCTGCCAACAGCGTTGAGGGGGTTGGGGAGGCCGGCCCCGCCCACCTGTCTGCACTCGGTCCTGGGGGGCTGCTTCCTGTTCCGGGGACCGGGAGAGTGACTGCTCCGGGCAGTGGACGACCTGGAGCTCCGACACCACGGGCCGGCATGTGCAGGGGCCGGAGACGGGGCCGCGGAGGACGCTTCCGGACCTGCTGACTCAGAAGAGCCGGCGCCGGCGGGAGCAGGGAGGGAGGGCTTCCCGGCACACGGCGGGGGTCTCGGGGCGGGCCAGCGGCCCCCACATCTCGGCGGGCACCCGCCAGGAAGGCTGCCGTGTGCCGGGGAAGGTAGGGCCCTCTCCGCAGCGTGCGAACAGAGAGACGCTACAGGCACTTGGGAACCGTGTCCTAAGCGTGTTGTGCCACCGCCGTGACACATGGCACAGAAACCCCGTCCTCGGCTGGGGCGGGATCACGGAAGCGCGTGCCCACCCAGGCCCCGGGGCCTCCTCAGCAGCCGGGACACCCACTCCTCGCCTGTTGCCTCCACTCTGCTCGGCGGCTGGCGCGGGAGGTGACGGGGACGTCCCCACGCCCCCCAGCCCTGGGCCCGTGCATCTTCCTCACGTCCTCTGGGTGGGGAGTGCGGCCCCGAGGAGCGTGATTTACGGGACGTCGGGCACGGCTCTGGGGGAGACGCATCCAGGGCAAGCTCAAGAGAGAAGGATTCGCCTCAGAACTCGAGGGAGGGGCGCCTGGACCACCCGCCTCCCTCTCTCGATGTGCAAAGCAGGGGCACCAGCGCCCCCCATTCCAGGGAGCGGGAGTGAGGAGGCGGAGTCTCACCCACTGAGGACAGGGGGTGGGGTCACGGCCACGAGGCCAGCTCGGCTCCTTTCTCCCAGGTCCGGCCCTGCCCCGTTCTCCGGGGCTGCGGGGCTGGCTGCCTAAAGCCTCCTTCAGAACTCGGCCCTCTGGGTCGGGCCGGGCGCCCTCCTCCCCACACACGAGCCCCAGAAGGGTGTGGGTTCTGCACCGTCCCCCCGGGAACTGGGACTCATTCAGGGCTGCCACTCCACAGCTGCCCCCGGCGGGCAGGACGCCGCGGCACAATGAGGGCACTGTGCAGTGGAAGAGAAGACGAGTGTCCGGGGTTCCGTCGGTGGGCAGCGCCCTCCCGCGCGCTCCGAGCCGCTGGGGTTGCGACCGAGCCTCTGCTGGGACGGGACGGGGTGCTCTGTGCAGCCTGGAAGGCGCCGCGACGCTGGAGTGAAAAAGGGGGGAACTTAAACCCTGAAGTGACTCCGGAGCACCGCTCAGGACCACCGCTTGCTGAATCAATAGTGTAGACTTATTGCCGTAAAAATATTTTTCCAAAAGTGTCTTAAAAAAAAAAAGGCTCTTACTCCAGAGCAAATAAATCCTGCCAATAGCCACAATAAAACCTGGAGCGCTGGAAACCCGGCTCACCGGGCGTCTCGGCGGTCGGGCTTGATCCGGGAAACAGACGGGGTCTGGGGGCGTGGGGAGGAGGCACCAGGGCGTCCCCACCCCCCACCACGGCATGTCGGCGGGCCCGGCTCCAGTCACCACCCTCCCCCCCGCTGACTGCGGATGGAAATGGGACTCGCAAGGGGGAGAAACTGCCCTCATGAGGCGAGGCCGCGCCAGGGGACGGCACCGTTGGGCCAGGCGTGGTTTTATTCGTCCCAGTCCCTGCTTATTTCTTAAAAAAAAAAGATTTTATTTATCTATTTTCAGAGAAGGAAGGGAGGGAGAAAGGGAGAGAGAGAAACATCAATGTGCAGTTGCTGGGGGCCATGGCCTGCAACCCAGGCATGTGCCATGACTGGGAATCGAACCTGCGACACTTTGGTTCACAGCCCACGCTCAATCCACTGAGCTACGCCAGCCAGTGTCTCTACCTCCTGTTTACTTCACAAAGCGAAGGACACAGGTGTCCCTGGGAAGGGTTTCCTCAGACCCTCCCAGGGACCCCGTGGGCCCCCACCACGCTCCTGCTTGCCCAGAGCTGTCCCTGGTGCTGAAGCAGGTCTGCCTGCCCCGCCATGATGAGCCACAGGCACCTCTCTCCCTGCTGTGACGCCAGGGGAATTTAACGGAAGCCTGGGCGTTCCCGGGGAAAGGGGGCGGAGTGTAGGTGAGCGCCAAGGAGAGTCTCAGGACCGACACCTGGGGCAGCAGGTGCGGTGCTGGACGGGACACTCCGGCCGACGCCAGAGCGAATTCTCCTCCGTCCCCGACACGGGAAGGTGCACTATTGCTAGGTGGGGCCAAAGTTCGTGGAAGCTTCTGGTCCTCCTAGATGATCCCTCTGTGCGCACGCCCCGACCACCTCCCCAGGGGTCCCTCGGCCACGAGGCGGGGGCTCCGTCCTGCGCTCCTGCTGGCTTTGTCTTTCCACGCGGGCTGCAGTCTGCTGGGGCGGAGCCCGGGGCTCCCTGGGACCGGACGCACCGGCAGGGTGTGCGGGGTCCCTCCTCAAGGAGCTGACGTTTCAGCCAAGTCGGGTCGCACTCCAGGAAGCACAGCTGCCAAAGGACCTTCACTGTCGGGTGCGGGAGGCGTGGCCCCAGATGCCACTCCGTGGGGGCATCCACAGTGTCCACGGCGGTGGCCTCGGTGGTCCCCACAGCAGGGGGAGCAGGGAGTCCATCCTCTCAGGTCCGACTGGCCGTGAAGGCCCTCAAAGCAAGGCCGCATGGGGAGAGAGGGGACGGTCCATCCGCCCCAGCCCCAGCTACTGCACCGGATAGGTTCAGCTCCACACGGGGGGAGCCTGGGGAAGCCAGAGGAGAAACCGCCCTGTTTACTGTGGGGAATCACAGTTGTTGGAAGGCAGTAAGCTTGGGACCCTTGGTCACGCAGCAGCAGGAGACTCACGACGGCTCTGGCCAACACGGCCCTCCATCCGAGTCCTGCGGGGTCCCAGGGCCCCCTGCCGACTTTGCCGGGACGCGGCTGAGGCGGGGAGAACCAGGTGGGGTGCTGGAGCACGGGGTCCCGAGGGCCTGTCCCCCCTCTCCGCCGCCCCGCCCTCCGGGCCTGAGTGCGCAGGGAGCGCAGTGGGAGGTTCGCCCCCTCCCGGTTCAGCTGAGTCAGCTGACACACGGTGACCCTGCAGCGTGGCTCCTCTCGGCCCACGGGGAGGAGTTGGGATGGACCTGACTCATCTGGGGACCCGTACCCGAGCCCAGATCCGGTCCACTCCAGCCCCCACGCAGGCACCAGACGCACCGGGTGGGGTCCCGAACCCCGCGTGCCGGCGGTGAGATACCCTCTCTTCACCGGGGTCCGCGCGGTGACGGGGACGGCGCGTCCCTCACGGGACTGGCTCGAAAATGAGAAGCACCAGGCTTCCGGCCCGGCTGAGGGCAGAGAGCTTTCTCTCGGGTTAATTGAAGAGAGAAAAGGAGAAAGACGGGAGGGAGGGAGGGGGAGGGAGGGAGGGGAGGGGAGGGGAGCTTGCCTCCTGTAGGGAAGGGACGCGGCAAGCAGGAGAACTGCGGAGGCGTTGCGGCCGCCGAGCCAGGCTGGAGCCGGGAAGACTCTCGGTCCCCCGAGCCCCCGAGGGCCCGGCCCTCTCACCGCCTGATGGTGACAGATGGCAGGGCCGGGCCCCGCATGCTAAATGGTCCCTAAAGAAAGAGACTCGGTGATGGGATGTCACCGTGGGCTTCATCCCAATGAGGTCGTCGGACGTGGGGCTTCGGGGACACTGCTCTGAGGTGTGTTGGGCCAGCAGCGGGCACTGATGGGAGCACCCACTGCGAACGCCACCGCCTCGAGAAACGGTCTCGGTCTTGAGAAAGGCCCCTTCC